TTCACAATCTGTTTGTACAAAACTCTTTGAACATCGGCTCGAGCTTCTGGATTCCATATGATGAAAAGTGTTTGGAATTCACGAAGTACGACAATCCATTACGATTGTCATAATACTGGAATTCATTCTTCTCATTGAAGAAATAGGGGTTCACATCCATTATTTCACACTTCGAGCAGTCAGCTGTAGCATTTCGAATGATCATCCGAGCTTCTTCCGTTTTGATCAAGTATTTTGTGGGAGATTCCTTGAAGATATGATAATGCAGGGAGGTGGGAAAGATGTACTCACCTTGGGTATGAGGTGGTGAGTGGAGTTTGTGAGTTTCATCGCTTCATTCAGTCTGTCTACAACGTCATCCACTGGCATAACGAAAGCGGTAAGAATGAAAATCTTTTTCTTCACGTTCTGCTCAAACTTCTTCAATGTTTTTTTGACTAGTTCAATTCGTCTGGTTTTTTCATGATAGTCTATTGTTCTTGCAGTTGGTGCTATATATATATGCCTGTATATGATGAATGAAAGAGAGGATACAGAAAACAGCCAACCTGGAGATGATGTACAGATAGTCCGGCGCTATCGATTCAACATGCTTAATGAATCCCTCCTGAACCCCAGCACAATCGTGTTTTGTTTTGGCCCCCAGTTCCTCCCATAAAACTTCACAGCCTTAAGAAACAGCATTGTACATAGAGGATATTCCTTCCGTACCTGGGTAGGACTCCATTGAAATGTTTCTAAAAGAGTTCTGGCACGTAGGGTGGAAACCACGGAAGGTGTTGGGCGAGTAACTGTTACCAATCACAAAAGCAGTAGCGGTGCTTTCAGAATTGCCCTACAAAATATGAAAGATTAACTTCCATGGTTTTGATACTTACAGGTGCCCGACAAATTCCAAACGGTCCTTTACCATCTTCATAGACACACTTGGGATACTTCAAAAGCTTTCTATCTTCTCTATTGATGTTATTATTGATCTTTATGATATCATCTTGAAAGAGCAAGTCACAAGTTGTATCTCAATGTAACAAACTCACCAATCTGGTATGCATCCGGGTTCAGAAGAACTTCACGGAAATCAAGTTTTGGTCCGAAAACGGCAACCTCTATTTGAGAACGGAAAACAACGATGAGT